CCCCGGGGACGAGGTTGGAGGTGAATAAACACATATCCCCGAGGTGCCTCAAAATAACGTACTTATTTTTCACACTGCGAGGTCGCGTTAATGAGTCAGAAAAGAAATAATTCTTAATGCCATATTGCCTTCGCGATGTTGTTTTTTTCTCATTTTTTATGCTGCAAAGACATTGCAGGTGAATTGATTAGAGGGGATTATTAATTGCAGGTGAATATTAGAGGGTTATTAATTGCAGGTGAATATTAGAGGGGATTATTAAACGGAAATTGATTAGAGGGGAACATTGAATATATTCCCCGACAAGAACAAAGGAAACCGAGCAGGGTGAAAAATAAGTTATATGTTTGTCTGAGTTTATGCTAATTTGTGCACGATCAAGGTGATTGAATTCGTTGTATGTTCATCCAATATGGATAGCTGCGATGAAACGATGATTAATATTTAACAAAGTCTGCATTATAGGTGGCAAAATAACTTAATATTTTTCATATAATAAGAAGGCAAGGAGAAACACTTACTCAATCATCAGTTTAAATTCATCTCGGTCAAGTTTTCCATCTCCAGATACATCATACATATCAAAAAACAGCCTCAACTTTTCATCTGGGGAACCTGGGAGAAGTCAACACAGAAATTGAATGATGGTCCATTGTGGTGACTGGTAAATTATGTATGGTCGTTCACACAAGAAACTTTACTGTAAAACTATTGGGGTCGTAATCAAGAGTACGTTGTGGATATAAATATATTAAGTATTTTCTAGAAAATACTTTGAGAAAAAATTATTAAAATTCGGTTATCGAAAGCCGATATCGATTTCAAGTTGCGAGGAACTGTTTTTAAATTAAGATCGACATGCGGCCATCTTTTCAATGATGGCGATCGCGAATTAAGGAAAGTACAGTACCTTTAGAAAAAATAACTATGACGTCTAGAAATTCTCCGAAAGACACGTAACCGTTGCTATCTTTATCGAATAAATCGAACATGAGTTCCACGAATTGTGAGTTGGGTTTCAACGACAGCGCTTCAGCAAACTCCATCCTTGACAGTTCACATGTTAAAACCTCCCTTCCAAAACCTGTCTTCTCTGTCGCGCTGGCATCATCATAGTCAATGTTGAAAGCCTGTGGGCGATAAGTATAATTAAGCAAAAGTATATTCTATCGTGAAGGAAACGCATTGGTCATAGTATCTATCCAACGTATAGTGGGGCGGATAAGTTAAAGTATTGTGCATATTTACGGTATGAATATCAGATATGAAGGCAATCTGTGCAATTAACGCTAAGAGCCAAAAATCTGGAATATCTGACATTTTATTATAAATTTCTATTACTGCTCAAAATCTTAAAATTCTAAATACTTCACAAAAAAATAATTATATGGCTGGGAAGTAGACAAAAAATGCTTATACAGTAGAACATTATTAAAGTCGTTTTGTGATAGTCCGAATATTTCCTGAGCTGCAACCTGTTAAAAAAGGCGATTTGAAGCTTAAAACATAGGAAGATATAAAATTTCATTTACGAGAAATGAAAATTCAATTCTCATACTTGTACTGGTCAGACGTTTTCCGAGGGGCACAATATTTTGCAAGGGCGTCGGGACCTAGCCCCTTCCGGCCTCCCCCTACTCAGTCAGAACGTGGAAAACGAAGATGAAGGTCAGTCATATGCGCAAGCTCTATAAAATTGAAGTTTGTTCATTTGTGATAACGTGTATTTAGTAAGTGAATGCACACCCTCCCAAAATACATTCACAACACGACTTTTGAACACACAATTGAATTCCAAGAGGGACATTATATATTAAAAAGTAATTAATTAAGACCTATTCTCCAAGTGCCTCCACAATACAGGAAGTGCCTTTCCATGAGAGACCTAAAATTCGGACCTTTTTAGAATATTATGACATCGCAAATTATTAAGTCTTCCCCCTCCCCCCCAAGCAATAAAATCCAGGCTGCGCAACTGCGAGCATACTCAGGCAATTACAATGGTGGAGGTAGAAACTTACGTGAGCTAAAGCCAATCTGAAAAATTGTTCTAGTTTCTTCTGTCTGTCTTCTTTTGTCGTAGCAGTTGTTAACAACATGTAGGTTCTCATCGGTTGCCGACAAAAATGAATGTTCAACGTTCCCAAAAAGGCCTCTAATTTTTCAACAAAAATTTGTCGGTGTGTAGTCGTGGTGAACTTAATAATCTAGAGAATAAACAAAATATCATTAAAGACAACTTGGAATTTATGAACGCATAACAAAAATTAGTAGTAAATCCACTGTATGTGAGCTATTCTGCAATTTTATTGACTGAACTACTCGCTGTGTACATCCGAGGTACCCACGATTAAATTAACGTCCTTATCCGAGAAGACGCGAAAGTCTAACCATTTACTGATGACTGCATGTATTTTGAAACCTTGAGTGGAGATCTTCCAGTTTGAAAGGCAAGCGTGATAACCACGACACCAAGTGCTGGGATTAACCCAATATCTTACCAAGTCATATTCTTTCTCAGTTCTGGCAGACATCAATGTTTCTTCTCTATCATTTTCCAAACAGATGGTAATCTTCTCAACGCCACGAAGATCGATCGAGCGCAGTAATTCTCCACTAGCTGACGAAACGTGAATAATTTGGCCTCCACCAAGTTTTATTTTTACTGGTCTTTCTGGAAGATTACGACGCCATTCAGCAGCTTAAATGGAACAGATACAAACATGTACACCTTGTGAATTACAGACATCAAACATTGGCAGATATTAGGGACGAGGGCAAGGGAGCAACCCCCAATAATTTCTGAAATCCTTGGAATGATATCGACACAACTATGTAACAAATAATAATTGTTCAACCATGAAAGCATTGAATGGCTGGCTAAAAAATAATGTATACTGTATGAAATTTAAGGCAACAAAGTTTAAAAAATTAGAATTTCCAGCCACACACGTAAAACGCACAAGTTCTAACAAATCTGACTTGTAGCAATGCTGTTGCAACAATTTGGTAACAGGATGTGTTCGCACTGCTTGTTCCCAGCTTGTTGCCAACTTGCCACAAGCTTGTTGAGTTCAACGACCTGCTACAAGTTATTCGAACAAGTTTGTATCGTCCTGCAATTTAATAATTTGTCAACGAGTTGCGAGTGACAACCCTAGTATATATTTGCCGACGTCTAGCAAAATATTGTGAATTATCAAATTACTTGCCGATGCCGAAGGCAGAGTAATTTAACTGTTTTAATATTGACACTCTCATTTTCTCTTACCAACAAATTCATTCTCTTTCACACTGCTCCTACGTTGCGTTCTCCTGAGATTCTTCTTTCTCTGCTCAGCCAGAAATATTTGTCGCCGCTTTGCCATGAATAACATAACAAGAACGACACCTAAAACAATAGAATAAGGTTGCTTGGTATCTTATAATGCATACAAGAACTGTACCGTTACTTTACACTTGTGAAATTTAAGCATTCTTTTTTCAGTTATTTAGTTATTAGTAATATACATGAAAAAGATTCTCAATGTTGGTCTTCTGTAATCTGCTTTACACGTAACTAAAAAACTCACCAACAACAAACAGTCCAATAAACGAGAATGTCAGAGCATAAGAAACTTCACTACCATCAAAATAATCATATGTTTCCGGTTTTGTACAATTTTCCATCTCGTACTGGCTGAGTACACCAAGACTACATACCGACTCGTCAACTGTAAAGAATCAGATTTTGTTTATACCCATTTAATCATTTATCGTCAGATTTAATATAACCGAGTATTTATTTGTATATATTCAAAATAAGTATGGCCGAATATTTATAACTGTCGCGACGAGGTCATGTTCAGTGGTTTGAAATAGTGTAAATCAAAATTGTCTTTGTGTTCTATTCAAATCAGATCGCAACAACAAAAACAACAGCGACAAAAACAACAGCAAAAGCAACTAGTAAAAGAAGGATTTCTAATCTTACCATGAAAGACATCTTGTTGCAAGTCAGTTCCATTGATATTTGTCGTCATCCTAATGACGTCATACAAAGTGATTCGAAAAATTTGATCAATTTCATCTTGGGTGAACAATCTTGTAGAAAAAATAGATTTGATTTGTTAACGAATACCAGTTTTGGGCCAATTTTGACATAATATACGAGTAAGTACAGTATACTTATACATACTCGTTTTCCTTATTTTCAAACCAAAATCTGTCAGCGTCTCTGATTCTTCTGAACTGATCTTCAATAACGGTCGAGAAAAGTTCCCCTGGTCCGGATGTACTCGTTTCCAGAAGTCCTCCAACCCACACGTCAATATTGTTGATGTCACCATTGGATAGATGTTTCAACTTCTTAAATATCTGACACGAGAAACAAACCAATAAGAAAACGTTCGTTTATATATTTGCTGTGTTGGTGTAATGTACTGTTTATCTTATTCACCTGAGTATATTACACCAACACAGCAAATATCTTGATTATTAGATTACACCGATATTGAAGGAACTAGATTCAGTTTCGAAATATCACTTACTCGAACCGACCTGACCGCGTAGCTCAGTTGGCAGAGCATTGGGCTAACATTCCACAGGTCGTAGGTTCGATTCCCAGCGTGGCCAGGCATATAATTCGTTTATATATTTAACAATACATTTTTGGACAAACATTGCTTGAAATCATTTAAAAAACGCATAGTAATTTTACTTTGACTTTAAACACAGATCCACTTTATATGACAATTCTATTTTATTCTACAAGTTTGCCAGTATTAAAGATAGAAACTAACTATAGCTCACACACAATGGCTGGAATGACCACACAGAGAAAAATCTCTAATAACGGGGTTCCACAACACGAACAAGCACAACATTAACTTACACAAAAGCGTGACAGATATTATAGACATATTATTAAACAGATAAGCAACTTGAAACAAACAATGATAAGACAAACGACATGTTGATACCGTTTTCGCTGCGCAAATTCGTAATTCAAATAATGTCAAATGAAATTTAATTTACTTTAATTGGTTCGGCAATGATTTGCTTTAAATACGTCGAAACAGTCAGTTGGGACCAAGGGAACCCTTGCGTCTTTATCTAATTGTTGGGGGGACCACGAACACACTAAATGTCAAACACTGTTGTCACGAAACAAAAAGTGTAATTTAATCAATCAATCAATCACTCAGGTAATTTGACACCCTCCCCCAACAACGCCAAAGTCTTCGCTACAAGTCCAGCCATTTGATTAACATTGCAGCACATACCTTGTCAGGTATATTAGATTCATTAGATTTAATATCGAGAAAGTCTGACTTTTGTTGCAGCCCATAATGACGTCGCGCGGTGTTGTAGTCGGACAAACCATGATCCCGTCCTCGCTGGATGTTTATTGCCATCAGATCACGACGGGAGAAATCCAGTCCACCATATGCGAATCCTGAGAACAAAGAGAACGTGAATTTAAGTTTATTCACTTAAAGCCGTCTGGCTTAATATCAGACATGCATGTTTTCTCTCGATATACTAGCTTAAGGAAATGAAAGCACTGATGAGTCGATCACGTTTATATATTATATGTTTAGTTAATTTAAAACCAATTATTATTAGACTTGCCAAAAAAATTATTTGCAGAAGGTATAAATTGGTATAAACCATCATATTATACCTCTCAAATCTTCAGCTATTACATGATCCTCGCACTCAGCAGTTTGAGCTGCCATGCCACGTAAAATTGCATCAATATCGAGCGGTTCATCGTTTCCCCTTTCTTCAATTGGAAGCTAGCAAGAAGAATGTAATTTTGAGTCTATATGTTACTAAAAGCTTGTAAATACTGTTTGTTTGCAACTATTTCGGGAGCTGCAATACAAACTGATTATTTTCGTTGTTTATATATATATATATATATATATATATATATATATATATATATATATATATATATATATATATATATACATTAGTAATTTTTCTTTTGTTTTCATTCTTAAATAATAAGCCTTATATGCTGCAGCCATAATCGACGACAGCAGTAATAAATTCAACAAATACCTTTGAATTCCAAAATGAATTACAAGTCCTGAGGCCATCTTTATTTTCCCCTTCTTTACCCAGAGCGCTTGACGTCGACGTTGTTTTAAGTCGCGAACAACTGTTGGCCAGTCTATTTGGTTACAAATCAGATACTTGTTTGTTAGGATTGGATTTTGGCAATTAATTTTTTCAACTTATTCATTTTTTCGAGTGGCAAAATTGCTTTCACCTCCCCACAAAGTAATTATAGATGTTCGATTATAGATAAGCGCCTTTCTTGTTTACGAAACCACGGAGATAGAAAATACTTTGTCAGTAACCATTGTCTCTTATTTGATTTAAAAAGCTAGTCAATAATTCGTGAGAAACTAAGTACATAAAAATACCACCGTGTCAGAGGCTTCATATGTGATAAAAAAGTCATGTTAAGTTAATTTAATTAAATTTTAGCTTTAATTTTCTCGGCTCAGACAGGGGCGTAGCTACCTTAGCCAGGAGCGTGACCACCCCCCCCCCATCCCCACTCATCGCAGACTCAGCAAATGTCTGCTAGACTCGGCAAACGTTTTCGGATTTATCGGCAAATTGTTTTCGCAGTCGCTATTACAAAAAGTAATAGTTATAACAAAAATTTTTAAACTCAGAAAATGGGTCGTATTTATAAGCCATTTAAAACACTCGCAGTCGGTGCTTTATCGGATATAAAATACTTGGCTGTCGCCCCGTGCTTTATATCTGATAAAGCACTCCTGCTTGTGTTTAACTGAATAAAACCTCAAATTCCTAACTGTATTTACCTTACCTTCGCATTACACCAGGAGGCACCATGGTATGTCCAATTCTCATTGCGGCGGACTGGAATATGTGAGTAATGGTTGGATTGACGGATGGTCTATACACTAAACAGGAATTAACACAATGGTTGATTAAATGAAAATTTCCCTTCATTTTCTTGCAGGCAAACGTGTTCCTAAGGATTCCCGAAATCCCACTTTTTGGCATGGCTGCAACTATTCCTTGATCGTATCGAGAGATATGGTAATCTGTTCGCCTTTTACAAAATTAACTACTAATTCCAATAGTGTACTCTATGGTAACGGCTAAAGTGGACTTTAGAATCAACCGAGATGGCATCCAATGGCAAGTACGGGAGACATTTTTAATAAGGAATAATTTTTCTAATTACTTACGATATTTCTCCTTCTTTCTAAACATATCGGGATCTTTTCCCAGAAACGCTGGTAGCCAGTCATAAAACACAATTTTCTAGGAAGGAAAAAGTTAATGAGTTTTTAGATCACCCCTCCTGATGAACACACATTCATTGATACATTACTGAAGAGGTTACCCTACAGAAATAAATATGATTTGATTTGTACCTTTTTTTGGTTAGCAGATATTTCAGTTTATTTAATAGTAAATGTGATGACGCCACAAGCAACTTTTTTTCAAATGCAATTAATTACAGTCGCAAAATTTCCCTCTCATAAACGTAATTATACGTACAGATTCCATAATGTAATGTGGATCTGGAGTCAAATATACTTCTAGTACCAGAAACAAAACAAGTCGCGTTTAATGATCGAAAGTAGGTTTCACCTCAAAAATCCTTCTGCAAAAATGGCAGATTCATGGCGAAAATTGTCAATCTGAATTCCACAATGCACTGAGACAAAATGGTCATAACAGGCAGGGCGCAGAGATGGCGACTCTTGTTTTTTCATACTGATAGTTTTTCATATATTTTCCTTGATGTAAAAGGAATTTGCGATTTTTCTCTGCTAAAGGAACGCGTTCCTTTATTTTGTATTTAATTAACTTTTTCTGTTCATCTTCAAAAAATCAATTAATTACATGTCAAAATTACAACAAATGTGACGAGTAGCCTGTATTGTAACGTGTTACAATTATGGCGAGTATTCACGGCCCTGACTTTATACCTGATGTGTGGCAATCACCCATTTCCTTGCTTCATTGAACAACTTCTCATCGTCAGTGATATTTGTTCTCGCTCTGATTCTCTCAGCTATCACATTGTGGTAGCGGAACCACAGGATTCCGAACGCCAACAGAAATGGATTCTCGTTACCTCGAGGGTTTCCTAATTCTAGAATATGGAATAAAATTTCCATGGTGAGAAATCGTGGACATTAACGGACGGAGCTAATTCCTCCTAAACTACAAATATTAAAGTCATGCTGTGTTCATTAGGAAAGGTGACAACATTGTTTATGGTGGAACCATCAGTATAGCGCATGTTGACATGTGAACATGACGAAATGTGTTTAACATCAATTAAGTACTTACACTTACCTAATTACTTACTGAGCCTAGACTATTTTATCTTTACAACAATATATGATTCCAGCTATACTGGCTAAATTTAGATCCAGACAAGGACGAAATCTATCATTTTCGCTTAAAGCCGGTTTTCCACTCCAAGCGTACCGTACCAAAACGTATCAAAAAGTTTTTAAATTTCAAAATTTCATGAATGTTGATTGGTTAGTACTTACGTAGTACGCCAAAAAGTTGACTTGCGACGAACTTTTTATTTTGATACGCGAAAACACCCGGAAGTACGTGGTTTTATTAATTAACTTCTTTTCAATCTGCGCATGCTCACCGGTACGTTTCGGTACGATACGGGCGAATTGGAAAACCGGCTTAGAAGAACATCCATAAATTAGCAAAGTTGCCAAATTTGATTGCAAAATGCTGTAAAATACGGAAAATATAACCCTTTGAAATTAGCAAACTTTGAGTATTTTGGTTTTACGCCACGGAAAAATGATTTCGTCTTTCTTGCCTAGATAAAAAAATAGTCGATAGCTGGATTCACAGTCTATTGGGATGTTAATTTCGTAACTGTGTTTATGCTAACCCACACAGTCAACTTTCCCTGTGGGAGGAAATCGGAGCACCCGAAGGAAACCCACGATTTTCGGCAGAGCGTCTACTGACTCTTTTTACATGATCCCACAGCGAAAATCAAACCCAACGACTGCGGCACTGAAGTCCAAATTGGATACACGAGAATGTAGAACCATTCGGAATTAAGTTAGTTAGAAAAAAATTCGATCTTCTCGATGGTTATATTAATTACTCATATTCACAATCTTTCGTGCTAGCTTCTGTTCTGTTTGAAGACTAAACTTTGATGTCATAAAATGTGCTGGGCAATTGATGAACTCACTTACGTTTAAAAACTGGGTGGATGAAACTTACTAAATAATCTTTCACCATTCAATAATTTATGCATTGTTGGTGGCGGCACGTTCTCCATAGGTAACCCAATGTCATTTTCCTGTGGCCAATTTCCCTTCTCACTTTTAAGTAGTTTTCCATCTCGAAAGCATCTCAAATTGTCGGCCCAGGCCTTTGAGGTGCCATACATCAGACCTCCGTCGATCCATGAGGTGGCTTCATTCAGCTGATAACGAAAAATTAGTGGAAGAGATTTTGAGAACTCTGGAATTATATTATCATGATAACCCACGAAGGCTGAAAAATATCCCCAGAGACAATAACCTTAAATTCCTGGGTTCAGATAAAATCGACTGTCGGCCGATATTTCCGTTATCATGTAGGCTACACTTAATATGTGATCCCGATAGAAATAGTTAGTTTTGTCTTCCAGAGAGAAAGTCGTGGGAAAGATTGAGATTCGAGGGGAAACAAAACAATCTATTTCCCGAGGGAACAGACATTAAGTGTTTTTTTTATGTAGCGACGAAAGGAAAATCAACAACATTCATACAACAATTGTACTTCATGACAAAAACTCTATGGTGTAAACGAGTTTCAAATTAAAAGTTATTACTTAAAAGGTTTCAGAAGCATATGCTATTTATAAGTTGTAGTTTATAAGCTTGCGGGTTGTGCCACCATTTTGTTTATTTTTTGTACGTAGCCGTTCGAGGCGGGAAACAAGTTTTCGCTTATTACTCGGCGGGATACATTGCATTTATCTAAAGCGACGTGACCAGAAATCGGCCAATTACGTTTGGTACACTAAACCTCTCGAGGCTTGAGGGACATTTCATCACTAATCGACCGTAATGCAATGTTATTACTTTGTAATATCATAGTTGCCGAGGAAATCGCGCGTGGTGTGTTGCCTGTTTTGAATGCTGTTTGATTGTCTTATGATTGTGGTACGAACACTTTTCATATATACGCACGCGCAGAAACACATCTCCATGTTCATTTGTTTTTGGCATGCACATAAACGGAATTTTCTCCCACAATTGTAATGTTCAAGATTAGGGAATAAAAGCTGGCAAAGTGATTGTTCGAATGTGTACGGGACGGTGTCGTCAGATATTAGAGAGGTTAAGATACTCCGGTTTCGGTGTACGGGTACGAGTAGTGTCATCTTGCTTTACTGCTGTCTGTAATTCGATCATACTTTTTCTGTTTTCTTGCAATAGACAATGATATAATGCAAAAAATGTACACCTTAATTACGAGTAACGGTACAGACATCGACGAAAATGTTGCTAACCAAAATCATGCTACCCGTACACGTACACCGAAACCGGGGTATCTTAAACTCTCTAATGTCCATAGTTGTGCCGATCATTTTCGATGAGGTACAGCTCTCCAATCAGAGGTAATGAGGTACGCTTTTCGAGGAAATTTGGTTGGAAACAAAGGATTTCTTTGTCTTCTAATTTTTCCTTGCATGCTTGATGAGGGAAATTTAGAAGACAAAAGCGTATGCATGGGTAATGAGGTAAATTAGTCATTAATCGTACCTCGCGAGACAAAGGATTTCGAGGCAACTATGGTATTATTATATTTTAATTTTATCAAACTTACTATAGACGGATGGTCCTCGGTGGTTTTGCCAGTATTTTTTGGTCATGTGTAATTTCTGTTATGTATTTAAAGCAAGATTGTTCTCTTACCTGTTGCCTAGGGTTATTCGGTGAATGTCCTGTAGTCTTGTCATAACGTGCTCTTATAAAAGGCATACTCTTGGGATCACCAGCGGAGTTGCCATGTTTATAATCGCCAGGAATATCAATGTTATCATATTCTGGCGGACAACTGGGTCTCCGCGAGTTCACTATCTCGTCAACGACTTGCTGACCTAAAACAAATTAATGCGCCAGTTAAAAAATGCCAGGAGTAACCTAGGTCTAGACACGGGCGGCTGTCAATTCGTTTCTCCGGACAAAGTATTAATATAAAATTTAATATTGCATTCGCTTATTAAAGTTATTCAGCAAGTTTGTGCTCAACGTTTTGGGTTCTTTTATCTCCGCTCGGGGGAGTAGATGAAATAATATGGAGCTTTAGATTTGACTATGGGTACGAGATGTAGTACGATTACGAGATTTTCTGTTAAATTTCTGCTACTTGAGACTTGCTATCGTCCTCTCTTTGGCATAGCACATCTTTAAAACAACACTGGAACCAAACTATACGTACAGTTTCAAGCTTTTTGGAGCAGATATTCAACGGGAAAATCTCGTAGTGGTGCTAGGTCTCGTAGTCGTAGTCAAATCTGAAGCTTCTATCCCTCAGCGATGATATTTCCCTCTGGGCAAAGCCCTCCCCTCGGGTAAATTCACCTCGGGTAATATTTCTCCGAATCCCCCTCAATTATAAAATACGACCCACCTCATATATTTACCTACCAAAAAAGACAAGCAAGACATTCTTTTTGCTGCCACACGTGCGACCAGTGTCTCCACGCATTAATTCATGACTCAAAGTAAATGGATTTGGTCTGCTGGATCCAGACAGTTGATAAACTCCATCCTGATATTGCGACGGAACACGACGTGTTAGTGGCGTGTCTATAGGAATAAGAAAGAAATGGCTCAAATAAATACTAGTTTCAGAGTTGTTTTGTTAAAACTATATTTCCACCTGATCATTGCTGCGTGAGCGATGATTATTTGATGATTATAAAGAATGAATAATGATGATGTTGATGGTGATGATGGTGATAATGTTAAACATAAAAATGGTGAAGCATGTGATGATGATGGCGATAATTATGATAATCGGATGACTATAATTATGATGACATAGTTATGTTGACGTTATAGATGTTGACGTTATGAATGTGATAAACAATGGTGATGATTTTAATGGTGATGATGATTGGTGGTGACGATGATGGTGGTGGTGGAGATGTCAGATGAAAATGATAATGGCGATGGTAATGATGAATGATGACGACGATGTTAGTAGTGAGGACGAGGATGCTAGTAATGGTGATAACGACAATTCTTCAGACAATAATAATGGTGATCATCATCGATAAAACAATGATTGTCATGATAATGCTAATTATAATCCGATCATGGGAAGGATGATATATATCGATGATGATGATTGTAAAATTATAATATATTTGGCACTTCATGATGTGAAGTTGACAGGGGAATAGTGGATAAAGACCGGAATAATCGGATAAAAATTTAGTATCGTAAATTATATCTTATAATTAACAATTATTCGCCGAAGGCGAAGTGATTACCGGTGAATATTCACCGAGACGAAGTCGAGGTGAATATTCACCGTAATCACTGAGCCTGAGGCGAATAATTGTTTTAGTATAAATTTTTAATGAATAAAACAAAATATCCGAATATCAGTTCAATTAAATTTCAGAAATAAAACTGTTTTCGGCCTGTTCACTAATAGTGTTGCAGTGTTTCTTGTACGCACACGCTGTCAAAATGGCTTCTTGTGTGACTTTATTGCTTTATTACAAAGTTGTTTTTCTCGATTTCCGCTTGGAATATAAACACAATAACGGAATGACTCTTTCACCAGACTTAGAATTAAAAATAGTTTCTGTTTAGCATTAATTTCTTCAGGAAATGGCTGAGGAATTTGGTAAAATGAAATGTAAAACTATATTGTTCGAAATAAAGTTTTAATAACACTTTTTACTTTACAAGTTTCGAAAATACAATACAGCGGTCAGAACACCATACAGCACAATGAGAACATGACATATCAAAAGAAATAGTATCGTACAAATTGGGAAATCTATAGCATACAAAATAAAATGGATTTTAAAGAATATCACGGCAAGGTTTCTCCCAAAAGTAGGGATGGTTTTTGCTATTTGTTTGAAGTGAATGTTTCGGAGTTTTAAATAAGTTTTAAATTGTCCGTGAATATGTTTGACACAGTAAAATAATAAAGGAATCCTACATTTCAAGTTAAATTCAACATTTTGTGCTTTTTTCGTTTTCTGGGACGATTTTTTCCAATATTTTGTCGATTTTGAAACCAAATTTGCCGAATCATTCTTTTTGAAAAGCATTATTTACTAGTCTGCTAGTAAATAATGCCTCAGATTTACTAGTCAGCTAGCCAATCAGAACGCGCGAAAGCTCATTTGATATGCAAAATTAATACTAATTACCTATAGCACCCAGATCATGTTTCCCTCTGTTGTTAAACCATCCATTATATCCCTCATATTCTATCCCCTTTCCATTCACTTGTAGTGCCACGTCCGGAAATTCTGCCATGTACTGGCTGGACGTGTCTCTTGCTGAAAAGAAGCAACAAATTTCCACTTGAAGATTCTTCCAACATAAATATCAAGTAACTTCAAATGGAGTTTTTGTCACCGGCAATCATCCTTAGAATAATATTACAAAAGTTTATTCCTGTGACATGTCTATTTAAAACTTGCTATGAAAGTCTATTCCTGGTTTAACTTACACTTTTTCATTTTCTTTGTAGTTTGTGGCGTCGTAGGAACAATACTCGGACTTGGAAAATGTTTTGTTCTGGTTGGTTGTATCCTTGAAGTTGTGCAAGTCGGTGTTGTTGTGGTGACCATTGAACCAACTAAACAAAAATCTTTATTAGCCGTTCACAATTTATGATTAGAATTTTGTTCGGTGATCGCCTTGTATTCAACACGCTTCTCATCAATTGTATCTTAATTGTACATTATGTAATATTCAAATACGGGGATTACGATTACGAGAACTGAACTAGATTTCAAGTACACGCAATTTAATCAAGTTTGAGGCGTTGGACTGGATCAAAATGCGAGGAACTGGAGGATTTGAAATGTCATCTCATAAGAAACAATTTTGATCCAGTCCTAGAACTGGATCTATATACTTCACCAGGTATATCCTTCATTATCATGTGAGCAAAATAAAGCTATATGGTTGGCTAATTCACTCATAAATTATTAATTAGTTTGAGATAATACCATTAGAGCGCAACAACAAGTTTTCTAATTTTTTTATGTAATGATATGAGATGTGGTGCAAAACAATACATTGCAATACGATACGAAGCAAAAAAATGCAGTGCCAAATAACATTCCTCATCCACTTACCCATCTGTAGACAAACTTTAGCCGATCGGCAAACAGCTTGTTGACAACAACGCTGTTCTGACGTACATTCATTGTCGTTTGTACATTTATCTTCCGGTTCAAAACGACAGTTGTTTGATGGGACAGGACAGCCTGGACGTGCTGAATATATAAAAGAAATCAGTATGCTACCTTACTTGAATACAATTTGCTGGGCAAACATCATCATTAGAAAATAATCGTAGTAATTAATGTGAGACAATTTGTTGAAAAATATGAGTGTAAACAGCAACGTATAGGAACTTCATTATTTTTTTTTTGGGGGGGGGGGAGGAGAGGAACTAAGTAAAGGTTGTCAATATGTATAGGTTATTTAGAGGCAACGAGGGTTATGTGATTTATTCACCGAGGCGCGCAGCGCCGAGGTGAATAAACACATATCCCCAAGGTGCCTCAAAATAACGTACTTATTTTTCACATTGCGAGGTCGCGTTAATGAGTCAGAATAGAAATCATTCTTAATGCCATATTGCCTTCGTTATGTTGTTTTTTTCTCATTTTTTGTGCTGCAAAGACATTACAGGTGAATATTAGAGGGGATTATTAAGCGGAAATTGATTAGAGGGGAATATTGAATATAATTCCCCGATACGAACAAAGGAAACCGAGCAAGGTGAAAAATAAAGTGCCGTAGAATATTCTGAAATCTAATTCTTTTAGACAATTATTTTGAAGTGCTTTTACGCAAAAACATTAGTTAACAGTTTGTCAACTAATAAAGGATAATACTCAATTTCACCATTAATTTTGCAGTTTTCCAACATCCTGACAATTAATGAGTGCAGAAAGGCTGAATCGTGAGACGATATGTTAATTGTGCGGTATATATAGTAAAAATGATTTTCATCCGTTGTTTTCAGAAACGCACATCTCAATTTACATTTGAACGACACATTTTTTCCAAGGTCATAAAATGTGTTAAAATACACGCTTATATATCTATATATTTAATACCTGTTCGAAGGAGGATTGCTTTAATTAATTAATTAGGAAAGCTTACCTATTGGAGTAGGCTGTGTGATGCTCGTGGTTACCAAACGTGTACCATTCAAACCTATCAAAGAAGAATGAATAAATGACCAATGAATGAACGAATGCTGGACCCAAAATAATGATAAATTTATTTGCAAAGTGGGCTGAAAATGCATTCAGTATAATTTGCGAAAAAATGTTGGTATTAGTTTGATAAGTAAACGCAATATTGCGTTAAAATTTACCGTCATTGTGCTGCTATTATGTAGTAAACTCTTAGTACTAAGGTACTAAACCTAGTAAAAACGTAGTAAAGCAATGCTGTGCTGGTTGTCAGTGGTTGCCTCAAAGAACGAGCAAAATAAAAAAAACTATACGAACTATATAATCTGATAGCATCATAAATATATTTGGAATAATTTATTCGGCAAACGTAACTATATAACTAATACACGGTCCTAATACAATTTCAACTCGAGCAATCTGCACCAGCGTATATAGGTAGTACCAAAAACACCTGAAAATTGAGATGGATAGGGATTCAACTACCTGAGATTAGATACAAGAAACATTTTTCGATGGGTGGCCCTTAGCTTAGGAATTTGATTGCTGTAAGTGTATTAAGCTTTTAAAAATAATCTTCACAAACAGGTTCTTTGTTTGATTGCATGGCAATAATGTAAATATTTTGGTTTGTAATGTGTTGTTAACATTGATAAAAATCAAGGTTTACGTTCTCAGCAATTCAAAGCTTTAATGAATAATGTACGAAACGATCAATAAAATGGTACCCGACTATCTTTCAAACAAATTTCCTCCTGCTTATACAATACATATATAGCTATAATTTGCGTGCCTCTGATTCTAAATTATTTGTCTCACGACCTTTGACTGAAAGACTTAAGAAAAACTTTACCTAGGCCTATATAGAGGATATGCATGTGCTGTGGAATAGCCTGCCTCTTGAAGCAATTAATATTCTACATCTGTAGCAACTTTCAAAAACATTTTAATTAAGGCAATTATCATATTTAGTATCATTATAGTTCATTTTTAAAACATTAAATACTTTGTAATTTTTTCTATTCTCACGGCTCCATGGAGCACTTATTATGAATGAATTCCGTGTTTAAATAAACTTTTAATAATAATAATAATAATAATAATAATAATAATAATAATAATAATAATAATAATAATAATAGAAAACTTTGCAATAATTGGTGTTTTTCATCAACCAGAAGACGCCGTGACTTCTTAGCTAGGTCGCAACAAGCTTTGACTTACTCGGAAGACGTAACAATTACTGTTTAGTGGAAGAGTTTTTTAGATGGAAATTTCCAGCAGAAATTCTCACACATTTATTCAATCTAACCGCAGGAACAGTTGCGTACAAATGTAACTATATATGTCCCCTTGGCATGACTCCAATTAGATCTATCGTGTGGGATTCCCAATGAAATCCTGATGTTCAGAATGACAAAATCTTGAGGATCAGAAATTAATCATGCGTTTCATCTTACATGGAGAATTTCTTTGTTTCAAAGGCGTGTCTTTGAGGTCGCATCACTTTTTCTATATCTGTGCATGCATATGGTGGTTTGCTGGCGAAATTTTTACTGGCCTTTCCCTACAAGGCTGTATATTTGAATGATTTCTGTGACTTTATAAAGTCATACGGTAAATTTTTAGTATACTAAACTCTCCCCAAGTGGCATATACATGTTTCAATAGAGTAAATTGTTTCCATATGATCGTAAAAGTAGTCTGTAAACCACATATGAATCATAAGTATTCTCTAGTTATTGAAAACTGCGTGTATTTTCAGTTCTAAAATATTGTATTTCTGTTGACGAGAACGATCGTGACTCAATCTTTACGTAGGCTAATTAATATTATATAAAGACAACTTCAAACGACTCTTTATTTAAAGCAGTCATGGCAAAGTTTCAAACGCCATTATACTTCAATTTAGAACAATGTAAGCTTGTGATTTCATGCATCATAGCTTGTATAATTGTACTAAGCCTGGCCACGCTTCTTCCTTTATAAAAGCAGCGTTTCATGCTGTGACATCAGTCCTATATCACAACACTTTTACTGAAAGTCCCCCGCTTATATAGGCTACTTGTAATTTTGCTGCGAATAATTTTCTTGTTCTGATTTATATGAACGAGTGGATGAGTTATGAATGTTCAGATGAGATCTAGAGTACAGGGTGTATCAAAATAAACGCAATTCATCTTTTGTGCTTAATAACTTTCGAAATACTATTTCTAGTTAAACGCTTTTGGGCTTACTTCAAAGCCTGTTCGCTTCTCTTTCAAACAAACTATTATCCTTGTCTCCAATGCTAGTAATAATTGCACAGGAAAAGATTTAGTAAAACCTATCATTTTTAGTTGCTGTTTAATTATGCAAGTTTACTATGTTATTGTTTAGTCTGTTTAAATGTTAGAATTTTCTTCTTTAAACTTTAATGTTGTCGTCACTACATCTGGAAAACCACGTAAGAACAAATTAAAAGTATTTTGAAGAGACCAGGTTGTTTGAAAATCCTAAACGAATGCTAGAAATCATAGAATCAAAACATTCTGGTGTCTGAGCCAGAGTGTCATCGAATTACGATGTAATGTAAAACAGAAATTATAGCAAGCTGATGTCAGTCAGCTTAGATGGTCCAAGCCAAAATTATATCGCATTTGAAGTTTCAAACTGTGTTAAAAATAGTGGAAGAAAAGCCGTAATTATACTTATTGTTACAATCCATTTATTAAAATGCAACATTTTTTGTTTTAATGAAAAAATCAGTTATTTTCATGAGAACGATTTGTTATTCCATCTCAATTTTTTTAATCTCCAATTGCAATAACGTAAAGTATTATTACCCGCGAACCAATGAGTCAAATTTAAGAAACAACCCACTGCTAGAAAGCTGAATGGCTACGCTTTAAAATGAATGTAAACTTTAACGTTTTCGTCTATTATTTGTTTGGCAATTTACATTTCAGTCGAGGATTGCGCTTTTTTTGATACACCCTATATACATATACTCAGAACGTTTATAACTAATTTACTCTTTCACATTCACATTCATCAAAAGTAGAAATTGAAGCAAAACGTATTATATAATACGACACAGCAATAAACAGGAATTCCATAGGATTGCCAGGCCAATAAAAAATATTTTCATTAAATATTAAAAGAAATGCCTGTTCGACTCAGTAATCCAGTCAGTCCCTGCAACATTGATTCAAGCTTGTTAATTTACAGCAACTCACTATATAACATCAGCTAGGCTCGTCGGTCTCGCATAACTGGGGAGGGGGGGGGGGCTCCGGAATACCCCACCCCCAACTCCGGAAATGTTTTGAAATTTAAACATTGGATACTCGATAGAGCAACTGACGAAACTGTTTGACTCGCTGATTATGGCTCTCTTATTAATCCTGAGGATGACTACAAACTAGTCGAAA